TCATTTAATTCAGCACCAAACCATCCTCCAGATTCTCACTTCTATACTTTTGTTAAATCATCATAAGGGCTTTGTGCAGCTTAGTTCCTGAATAACGAACTCAGGAGGGAGACATGGGGCCCAATATAGCCATGTTTAGTAGTAGATGATACAATAGATACAGTAAATGATACAATATTACGTACCTGAATGTTTTCACAGACAGAGGGTACAGGGCAGAGATGAAAGAATACAGGATACCTGCACATTCCCAGCAGTCAGTAAAAATGTCTATTCTGAACTGCTGAAAGCAGAAGCAAAGCTGTCATGGCTCTGAGACACCTTCAGGAAGAGCATGGCCTCTAGTCATCCTCTGTACTTCTCAGGTTAAAAATGGGACTTTTGCTTTAAGTATCACAATTTATCTTACAGCTGATCTTCTCATTAAAAATGGCCCAGGCAAATAATGTTTTAAACGTTTCCCTATGTGTGGTTATTTCCAGTTGGCAGGCATGGGTAAATGATACCATGACTTGGAGGGAACTAATTTCAAATCATGTTTAGAAAAGATCTGCTAAAGTAGTTTTTCTCCATTGCAGAAAGGACCTTTTCATGTGTCGCCAATATTTTCACAGTATTTCACTGAGCATTCTTCTTTGGTCCGTCATAAAGCTCACATGTAAGAGACACAAACGAAGCAACGAAGGCCACAAGTCTGCAAAGAGTAGTTATTTAGGCTATATTTTAAGCAAATTTAAGGCTGACTAATTACTCTGGGTGCCTTACTTGAATTACTTGCAAGGGCCTCATTTTCAAAGGGCCCGTAAAACAGACCCCTCTCAGGAATCACAAGTTTGGCCAGCCACGCTTTGAAGAAAGCCAGTACTGAACATACATTAATACCATATTTGCATACGTATCCATCTAAAGCAAGAGACCACAAAAAATTCAGGAACAATTTCTTCTGGGAAGCCTTAGTAAAAGGGCACAGTCGCAGGTACACTAGTCTTTCATCCAAAAGCAAGTAAGTGTGTTCTGTAGAAGCACGTATACGAGTTCCCCAGGTAAAAATAAGACAGGCATGATGTACTACATCCAGATAGGACAATCCTTCCTTTTTGATTTGGTAACAGAATTTTAAGTAGGGGTCCCAGAAACACCTTGAGCATGTCACTGCCTTCCAGCGAGCCACTTCAGCTGACAGAGTACTGCTGACAGGTTCTCTTCATTCAGAGAGTGAGCTGACAGCCTAACCTTATGCCTTTAGCAAAGTCTAAGTCACATCACTGTGTCATATTACAGTGTGCACCCCAGAAATAGAAGGAATGAGAAACTCCTCATTACTACACAGTCTTCAAGGAAGGCTTGTGAAATGGGGGAGGGGAAAACTTTTTGAAGGAAGAAAACATATACCATTGCTTTTTACTAAAGCTCTTAGGTGAAACTGAGAGGACCTCAAAAATAAACCATTTGCTCTTTGGTCTTGCTTCAAGTTGTTACCTTTAGGTCATCTAGTTCAGAGGTACCCAAAGCATGACAAAACTATTTGTCAGATATCTTTTTGCATTTTGGGAGGAAGGAGGAGAACAAAACAAAAAAATACCTTCTCCAACAGATACTGACAGTGAATTTATTACAGCCTGGCATTAGAGTATATCCTATGTGTCCACCCAGCAAAGTAAAAGTTTTCCGTCTTCGCAGATTGTGCCTTCCCCTGCAGGAAGGGGAATGGCTGATGCCCTTGGGGCCCTTTCTAGCTGTGTTTTCTAGCTACAAACATAAAACTGGGTCCCTTGTTGGTTAACATCTTGTACGCACTGCCTGTTTTCAGACGGTTTATGGAATACGTACGTACAAATCTACAACTGCCTCAGAGGTCTGGGGAGCTGACAAACAAGAACAGAAACTGCAGAGGCAGGAAGCCTGTTAAAAGAGCGATTACCAACATGGGTCAAGTATATAAGGCACTTCTAACTTAAGGTTGTTCTCCAAAAGACTCTTGTGCACTGTGATCAAATACAAACATTGTTTTGGAGTACAGTTACACTTGGAGCCATCAATCCCTTCCTCAGTGTTGGAGGCAGCCCCGTACCTAGCGTAACAACACCTCAGAAGGACCAAGTTGGGTGGGACAGGGTGGGGCTCTTATAGATGATGTTTTTCATGCAGAAACAGAGAGTCTCATCTTTCAAATCATATGTGAAACCATCCTCCCCTCAAAAATATGCATAAAAACACCAAGGCAAAGAGTTTAAGTGATACTTACGCGGCATGATCCCTTGGCTCACCAGCTCCTCCCGTGTGCGTCGCTGCTGGAGCTTCAACTGCAGCACTGCACAACAGCAGAGAGAGGGAAGAGAAGGAAACACATCAGTGCAAGAAACAACTGAAGAGACATTTTCAAACGCATCTTGTTTTCTTCTTTGGATGCCAAGGCAGTAGCGAGCAGCAGAACAACAAGACCCCCCCTTCCACCCTGCTCCCCTGCACCACTGCAATAGCAGAAGTGGCCTTCAGCAGTCAGGTTTCCGTATTCTGCTGCGGGCAACAGGGAGAGGAAGTTGCGCAGGGTCTTGGCAGGGTGATAAAAATCCACAAAGCCAGGCCTGTTTCTCAATTCTTTCTAGAGCACCAACTTCTTTCCAAACCATTAATATTAAAAAACAAACAGAGAAAAAACACCGGCTGACAGTCCTCCAATAAACACAGAGTGACACCCCAGCTGCTAATGACTCCTGAAAACTCTAATTACCATGTGCAGATTAAATTGATATGACAAAATTACTGGTCATTACTCTAAATTACAAGGCTGATTTCCTTCCTCAAGTCAGAAATTCACCTTCAGAAACATCTCACAAAAGTGAAATATCATGGATGTATCTAGAAATGTCCTTGTTCCACAGCAAAAGGAATCCCTTATCGCTAGAATTTTTCCTATTCATTTTAGTGTAACAGAACATAGGCATGAGCTGTGTGCAATGCAATTATCTTTTTTTTTTTTTCCTAATGCAAATCTCTGGAATAGTCATAATTTCAACATTTAGATTATAACAACAGTTTCCCTTCAAACTATACAATCAAAGCAACATTTTAGAGAATGTTCTTACAGTCAAAGAGCTTCCATATGAAAGGGACCTTTCAAAACTGAAGGAAAAAATCACATGCATGTGCGCACACACACACACACAAAAATATATATGAATTTAGGACAACCTGAGGATCAATAGACACTGAAACCCATTTGCAACCAAGCCCAAGCTCCTAAGTACACTCAACATAAAATATTATAAATGAATGGCATGGCGTCTTCTCCATTTTCATTTCAATTTCCCTGTCAAGCTTCTGTCGGTTGTATAGTCCACGTAAGAGAAGTCCACACAAATGTAGTGGAACCACCAGACAGAAAAACTGCTTTACAGTCCAACTAAACAATCTCATTTTAACCCTTATGCTTCCTTTCTCAAGGACTTTTTTTGTCCAATATATTCATTTCATACATTAAATCCAAATTTATACTGTACAGTTCCTAAAGTAGGGATTAAAAACTTTAAGGAGAAAATGCCACTTCATCTACTTATATGCATCATCACATTTTACCTGTTTCTTTCAACCTCCTATTTGCAGTTTGCATCTGACTAAGATACATCATCCAATAAGGGTTCTGGCCTTCATATGAAGTTAACAAGAGATCCACCTCTTCCTTGGTTGTTTGCACAGCGGCTAATCACCCTCGCTTAAACACACGCTCAAATTTTCGCTTTTTTGTCTAGCTTCCACTTCCCTTGGCTCTTAATGTACCTTTCTTTGAAAGATTTATGACAGCGAGAATGTATTTCCTACCTGTGGAGGTACTTCTGTGCGCACAGTGTGCAACCAAGTTACCTCTGTCCTGTTTCTTAAGCCAAGCTAGGATTTCTTCATATATGCATCCTGGGCAGGAAACTACTTCCTTTAGTATGGGGAAGGGAGAGAGGGAGGGAGGGTGTACAGAGAACCATGCTAATTCTGTGTGGGATCAGCCAAGAGCCAGAGAGAAGAGGAGGGAATGCAGAGGGGAAGGAACAGGCCCTTCGTTTGGCCATGAAACTGCAAACAGAAGTGATAGTCCCAGGCTCTTCCTCCCACTCAGCATGCGATCGCACTCCTACTTCTGTGCTAGCGTGAGGGCTAATAAAGTCTCATGGCTGGCCTGTTCACAGAGCTCTTCATTTGCTGGATTCGTTTTGACATGATCAAAACCCGAATCAGGTGATGACACATCTACATGAGCACTTGATCCAACAGCTTGCTACAACAGAGTCAAGTCTCTCACTCCCCACATCATCTCTCGTATTCCCCGACTGGTCGCGGGACTCACTGACATGACAGAGACCACAGCCCAACAAAAACAGGGAACAGTTTTCTATCTTATTAGTGAGTTGAAGAGGACAACTGTATAGCCAGGTATTTGCTAACACTAACACAAGGTGGGAGTGAGACTTCATCCTTCCAGCAGCAGTATGCCGCTAAGTGATTTCAGCCCTATTGGGTAATGGCACATTAAATCTCTCACTATGTGGCATTATTTCCGCTAGCGAGCCATTTCAGGGACTCATTTCCATACCCTAAATTAGCACATCTCACTAAATGTATACAGGCAAGGCACAGACCTATAGCATCAGGTCTATCCCCACAGCTCTAAACACAGATAATCTCATTATTACTCATGTCTTCCCACTTCAACAGCTAGCAATGTATATTAGCCCTTTTTGCCACTTTGCTATTTACTTGCTAGGACCATCTACTTTCCCTCTCATTTCCAACTACACCTACTATTTACCTTTCACCTCCCAGAGTCAGGGATTTTCAGCGAAAAACTCTCTCACACAGGTGTGGCTGGCATGTTTTGCTTCTTGGTGCAAAACTCTGCCCTCACTTGTATTTCTGCACATTTTGCCCAACTGTCTCAATTTGCCTAAATTATCTAAACCATTTTCTTAATGTCATTATTTATGCCTCCACTAATCTTTGTTCCATCCACACCGTTACCATCTTGCATTTGTTTCCAGACCGCACTGGGCTGATCCCAACTAGAAACGCTCTTCTGCTTTCTTTGATTACAGTCAGTTCTTAATCCACTTAAGCAGCACTTCATTAAATTCAAAGATACTTTTAGAAACCAAAATATACCACACTACTAAGTTAAAGACCTTATAAAAGTCTATTACACCCAGACAAAACCCCTAGCAACCAAATTTCAAGTTATCCAAACAACAAAATTGCATTTGAACGGACCTATTTTCACAAATTGAAAAGCTGAATAGCATGATTATACTGCTATTCTCATACCATCTAGATTCTTTATCAAATTTTCCATATTTTTTTCCTAGAACTGAGACCAGATTAGCCACTCTTTACTCACTCACCCTTTTTTAGTAGTAATGCAAAATGTTACTGGTCTTTTGCTCTTCTGAAGTCTCCCTGCTGTTCCCAGATTTATTAGAAATCAGTCTCAGCCAGACAGCTAGAGACTTCATCAAATGACTTAAAATTCCCTTCCTGACTTCAGCTTCCCTTATGAATTTTCTAAATATATCTTATTTCTATATCAGTTACCATCTACTACCCTTTTTCTCTATCCATTATATGCACCTTTTATTTTTAAATACTATGTCCCTTCACAGCAAGAAACTAGCAACTGTCAAGAGGACTAAACTGGAGAATATGAAAAAGGTCATTTTCAGGATATTTTTAATAGGCACTAAGTAATTCCTGGGATTTATGAATGTATATACATACATACTAAGCATGAGTTATAATCAGCACATAATGCATTTTTTTTTTCCAATACAGCTTATTTTTGTGGCAGGGAGAAGGGCAAAAAATTACTTCAGTTCACTCCTGAATTCATTTTGGCTTAAATAAGTACTTGGAGTTCCCAACACCATTTCATATATTTAGGAGATCACCTGTTTACGTGTGCAAGTGTGTGAATCCTATATATAGATTAACAGATGTCCCAAGAGCCAATCCAAGGCTGTTGTACATGGAGCTCAGCCAAAGGTCTAGAATGACCAGAGAAATTCAAAGTTACTCAGACAGACTGGAGCGTAAGTCTTTCAATCACAAACCATCAATCTTCTGTTTCCTTTATCCCTCTACTTAACCTTTAAATTAATTTTCATATTAGGAATAAATCAGGTCATATAAAGGAGACATATCTCTGCTGGCTAGAAAACAAGTTCCAAACTGGTACCCTTCTACCCACCTCTTTCATTCAACTGCATCACAGTCTACGCAACATTTTGTGGGCTTTGTATGCTTGTCTGATTTTCCCACCCGAAAATGGGCATAATTTATTTATTTCACAAGTATGAAAAACTCTGAAATATAGTTAAAGTTTGAGCAAGGTTTTTATATCTCTAATGAACTGTTCCAAGAATTAGTAAAACATTCCAGAGAAATCTGGAAGCTGCCAGACCTTAAACAGGTCTTCATTGTTCTGCAATATCTTTCCCTCTTTTTGCCTAAGTACACTCAATCTGTCATCCTCTCTTTCTAGGTGTCCAATGTCAGGTGAACTGTTTTCTGGTCAACCTGGGAAAGTGTTTCAGTACTTTCAAAGTCTGGTCTAATATTAGCTACAGGTAACTCATGACAGGAAGGGCACGTTTAGAGGAGTTTGCTTGCAGTTCTGCCAGCAGTTCAGAGGAGGGGTAGAGAAGAGTTGAGGAGGGGGGTGTACTTAGAGCCAAATAACATTGCAATACAGGTACTATCAACAAAGTTACACTGTTAGTGAAACACAGCAAGTCATGACTATTTTTTGTTCGTTTTACCATAGAACTGCCTTAACAGGGAACCTACAGGCATATTCCAAGATCAGAGCTTACTCCTGCCTACTGGCAAGTCAGAGCAGTATGTGCTTATTATACAGAGGCTACACCCATGTGGACGCTTTCAGGACACTTACAACACTAGTAGTAGTACAGGGGTGGCATCAGTAGTATGCAGTACAAGAACAAATATTTATGATGAGCTAAGGTGCTTTTTGCAGCTCGTCATCTAAGTCTGCAACAGCATGCCTGCCCTTACACATACATACCTGAAAGCCCTTCTATTTCTAAACCACACTTCGTGTTTAATAGTTTGACTAGAACTACTACAGAAACTAGACTGCAGCCTCTGCATCTCAGCAACCCAAGAGGAAAAAAAAAATCTCATCTTCAAGACTATGTTACAGACCAGGACAGGTTTACGACAATAAATGAAAAAAAAAAATATTCTGCATTTCCTGTTTTTTGAGAACTAGCGAAGAGAAGCACGCAGCTCTGAACTGCAGCTTGTGGTAAG